AAAACAACAACATTAAAAACCCCAAAATCCCAAACTTTTGAACGGCAGTGTATATTCCAGATATTGGTGTGAGAGGTACAGTGAGGATGGAAGTTTTATCTATTTGCAAGGACACTACAAGGACTGGTTTGTCTGTAAACCATCCTCTGGGAGTGGGCTGGAAAACTCAATCCCAGAGTTAAGTATAGCACAGAGCAGATATAGATGACATGGTGAACTCATCCACGGCTTCCTCTCGTTTCAGAGCCACCCATGATTATTAAATGATTACTAGATTCAGTATGGTTGAAGCCTCTGGGTTTTCTGAGTTTATCATGTATTCCTCCTCTCTTGACCCTCAGATTTTTTTTTCTCAGTTATACCAGAAATTAAAGGGTAAATTACATGGATTTATGCATCTTGACTTTGCAAGAAGGACATCAGAAAGCTCGCAGCAGCTTGAGAGAAGCTAACAGTCTCTGCGTTCTGTTTGTCCTGTTGTCTTTTTTTCCATCTTCCCTGCTGTGTTTGAAGAGTACTCGTACTGTAAATCTCCGTGGGAAGACAGGCTCTTTGATTGCACTTGTATCTGGAGGATTTCATGGCCTTCCCTCAGATTTTTTTCTCCCCGAGAAGCGGGTGATCCTCCTAGCTTTTTGTCTGGGGCATGTTTTTCGACTTCCTCCTTTGTCTCCTGGCCCCTATTCCACCCACCCTGCTCACAGAGCTTTTTCTTCTTGAAATAGGTACTGGCAAGTTGAGCCAAAAGCAAATAAAGAGCTTGCAGTATGTCTTCAGTGTGAGATGACACCAGCCCACACATCTACTGTTCAGCCCTGTACTCACAGACCCACAATAAGGCTGAAGCTTACAAAAACATGCCCAGGTCACATTTCACCACAAAATCAAAAGGTAAAAATATTGTTTTACCTAAATAAAATGTAGCTTATTGAAAATTAATCGCATGCGTTAACGCGTTAATGATGACAGCCCTAATATTAAATAAAAAATTCACTTTTTTCATGAGATTTACATGTATAGTAGTTTTGATCTTTTGATTAAAATGATGTTGTCTCTTGTAGCTTTAAGTGTCTTTGATTTGTTTGATTTGAACCTGAAGATAGTACATATTTAAATCACTACACTGTTTATTTATTTAAAATGTGGGTTGCATTTCTCTGCTGATTTCTCTCATATAAAGGTTGTAGTTGAGCTTTGGAAAGGCCATCCTTCCCTATTTGAACATGCCTGCTGTTGACTGGAAGGTTCCCATGGGAACAAACAAATGAGCAAACCCTCGCTGGCCGCCGCCGAGTGAAAAGCTCGACGATAAACTAGCAAAGAGTGTCAAAGTACGAAAAGAAGGGCGAGAAAACAGACAGGTTTTTTGATACTGAATCACTCTTTGTTGAACTGAGCAAATGTTTTTTTCAGTCAGAGTTAGTAGGACTGGAGAAGGGGATGTGATGGAAAGATCAAATCCCTTCCATATTTACTCTGCATTTCTTTTGTTTAGAGATTATTTACAACCACATGCTCTCATGATGTCATGACATTTAAGGAAGCATCAGGCCTGGAGCGGCCAATCAGGAGTCCCGTGACATCACGCAGGAGGTTCTTGCTCCGTGTGAGGTTGCCAAGTAAAACATGAATTCAGGCCATGTTTCAGCTGCTAGTTTAGTGGTCACTCTCTGTCTCAGGCCTGCCGGATTTAGTGACTGTCCCAGGAAAGGTCATTGTTTTTCTGTCAGTGCTGTAGAGTCATCAGACCAGTGGGGTTTTTATTATGGTTTGAGTCATCTTCATCCAGACTCCCGTTGATTGGTTTGATGTAACACAGTTGTAGTCTTCCAGGGTTGGAAAAGTGTGTGATCTGCTCTCTTAAACCACATTCAGAGGTGGTCCGGGCCAGTCTCGCAACAGATTTGTAATGTAACAAGTAATCTGAAACAAAACAAGCTAAGTCATTTTGGAAATGTTTAGAAAAGGCCACACATATACCTGAAACATTTGCGGTCACAGACTAATTTGAGACATTAAAATCAGATGTAAACTGCAATCCGTCTCAGCTGATCGAATCACCTGTTAAATGTTAGTAACCTAAGGAAACTAGTATTGTCATTATACCTTGTGTCTCACGGTCCTTAAACCAGCTAAAGAAGAATCACCATGCCAAGAAATATCCCAATGCCTCTGTTACTGTGTGGATGTGCGGTTATTTCAGGGGCTGTTGTGTTGTATTAATTATCTATTTACAGTTTACACAAATTATTATTGGAATACTGGAACATCATTATACAAAAATAACCACAAGTTCTGAATGCACGTTTTAATGTCTTCACTTTCACAGAAAATTGAATGGAGATTTTGTAAAGCCAAAACATACATTTTACACTACATTGACCGAAAAAATTCTTCTTCCATAAGCTTCTTCCATAACTCCTTTTGACTGTTTATTCTGTGTTCACATTGTGAATAAGCTACAACATGTAAATCTGTCAGCTATGTGGACGCACTTCATTGTGACCAAAAATTATGCTAGAGTATAGCGATGCACTGAAATTTCAGCAATCAAAAGTTCTTCAACTGAAAATACCAGCAACCAAAACAGCGATTTTTGGTTTCGGGAACTTTTGGCTGAAAAGTTTTGGTTTTGGAAGGCCGAAATCATTGACCGAAACAGTGATATTTAATTAGTGCTTCTCTGATGGTGCGTTTTGACTGTGTCAGCATCTGTTTCATGACACAACGTGGATAAACTCCAAATAGGTTAACAGGTCAGCTGTGTGGATGCTAGTTCTGGATTATAGATTCGTAAATCTAAAGATCAGTCTTTTAGTCTGTGCTGTTTTCTGTTACTTGACCTTCACTAAACATTTTTAGCGCACATGCCATCCAATAATTACAATAAGCTTTGTGCTTTAATATGAAACAAAGTCTCAGCTTTCATATTATGTCAATTATATCACAAAATACAAACAATAAATATGGTGTTGCCGCTTTTTAATGTAGCGTGACAGTTTGCTCTGTCTGCATCAGTTCAAGCGGCATGTGAATCGATCATCTCTTCCTCTACTACTAGTTATGGCACCAAATAAACATGAATACACATCAGAAAGCATGCTGAAATAAACGGAACAACTTACTGAAATGTATCATGTCAACAATAATGTCATGTAACATTACATTTACCTCAGGCAAGACATTCAAAGTCCATAAACTCGATAGTCAGTTAGAAAGGAGTGTTAATTATTGAATAAAATCTATTTTCATTATGGTTTTATGCCAAGTGCATCCAGAATTTTCATTTCAGTGCATCAATACTAGAGTAGCAATATGTAACATTTGTTCCTTTGAATTATCATTGCCAAAAAATTGTACTACAACTTGTTTAGCTTACTAACCGAGAACATGACACCCTGCACAAAATACTTGACTACCAAACTTAATTACTGAAACTTTATTTTAATTTCCGATTTTTGACTAAATGAAAACATTCATTGCATTTTCATTGTTTCGGTGCATCACATTTTGTACTTTACAGTTGTGTATTCAATAGCAAATGTAAGCATTATAAACAATGTCAAATCTCTCTGAAGTCAACCAAACTTGTCACAGGAAGTGCTCGTGGGGTTTACTTTCACATTCAATTCCATATGCAGTGTTGGGTGTAATGCATTTCTAGGTAATTAATTACTGTAATTCAATTACTTTTCTCTTAAAAAAGTAAACTAATGGATTACTTCTTTTTCTGTAATGTAATTACAGTTACTTCTGGTGTAACTGAATTAAATACCATGTTGAATATTTGACAATTCAGTATACAACAATAGTGTATTTAACATCAAAATTTAATATCTAATGTTAAAATGCATGTTTTCAATGTCTTCGTATTTTAATTTCCTTGTATTGTTCAACTGTTCAAGGTTGGTATGGGATTTAAGCCTGTGTTATACTTTCCGCATGAGCAATCCGGATGCGTATACGAACAGCGCGGACGCGGACTACTTGTATTTATACTTAAAGCATACGCTGATGGTCCGCTCCACTGACGTGTTCCATACATGCGCAGTAGATCGGTTGAACAGTAAACAAACATGTGAACAAAGAATTGCCCAGAGTTATTGCACATCTGACTGTCTTTATATTGTTTTATCGACGGATTGTACAGGTACGAGTAGCAACGGGCTTCTTCACACAGCCTACTGACAAAAAATGGGAGGCACGCGGATGTCCGCTCAGAGCCTCTGTGCACACTCTCCGATGACGATTTTTCTGTCACGCATACCATAGCGGACCCTAGCGGACTCGCGGACGCGGAAAGTATAACACAGGCTTTAGAAAGTAATTACTAGTAATTCAATACTTTTGGGAGAAAGTAATTAGTCAAGTAATCTAATTACACTGTTGAAGATGTAATTAGTAGCTAATAATTAATAAATTTTTTAGAGTAACTTACCCAACACTGTCCATATACACTATAGTTGACTTATGTACATATGGATCAGATCTGTCTGTGTTTTTGCTTTATAAAACACTGTCAGATTACAGCACCTGCAGCGCTGGACTCAAATAATACATACTCATGCTGAATTTAAGCTATGAAATTTTTGCAGACCAAGGCGGAGCTCTCAATATTGAGACTCAAGATTGTACATAGTGTTACACAGAAAACAACAACAGAAGAGCAGGCGAGCCACAGGCTGCAACTTTCATGACTGCTTTCACAGATAACACGGCTTGAATTCCCTTCGGATTGTTGTCTGCTCCACAAATGACTTTACAGCCTATCGAGTCCTAGCCGTCACATTCTGTACTTCTGCTGAAACTTGCCACTGCATCTTAAAGTGTGAGATAACATATGTGTTTATACAAGTACCCATGACTCTGTGTGTGGGTGTGGAGAGTTTTGTTAGACATTCCTGGAAACAAGAGATAGTGAATGGGGATTAACATAATAAGACAGATAGTCTTTATGTGTCTGTTCATTTTGATTTAAGTGATTTTTTTTTTCCTGACAGAGGGATATTTTTGGACACCATTCTGCCACGATATGATGTGAACGGAGTTCGGCCGCCCATCGGTCAGAGGACCAGATTGAGTAAAGGAGACATCGCACAGGCACGCAAACTTTACAAGTGTCCAAGTAAGAAAATTACACATATAAAGCATTTAGAATTACAGAAGGCTAAACTGTCACATCATCATCCTTCTGTATAAATAAGTAGAAGCTCCTGTCAGACTCAACAAGAGTAAAAGATGGTGAAGATAGAAAATCTGGGTCATTGGAAACTGTAAGCTCATCATGAAAACATGTCTGACTGCAAACTTCACAAGTATTCAGGTCTGGACAGCAAAGTCATGCAAAAAAACAAACAAATGTTCTCTATCAGTGTTTTGTCTTGTTTTCCGGTAATACACCTAAACGTGCTTAAAACTAAATAAATAGTTATATATATTAAGAAAACTGAATAAGAAATTAAGGCATTTTGGTTTCAGACAATATATTTTGAATTAGTTTTTTTTCTTTAGTGGATTAGATTGTCTTGGATTGTTCCTTTGTTGAAAGGAGAAAACGTTGGTTAAGTTACTCTAAAAAAGAAATGAATTATTAGCTGCTAATTACATCTTCAACAGTGTAATTAGATTACTGTAGTAAATACTCTTTCTAAAAAGTATTACATTACGTATTAGTAATTACTTTCTAAATCCCATATCAACATCGACCAGTTGAACAATACAATGATAGACATGAAACAGCTCTTTTAATTCTTTCAAATAAATAATTTAAAATTGCATAAATTGACCAAAGTATTTAAAGGGAGAAGGTTACATTTATAAACATACATTTTATCATTAGATGTAAAATTACATCAAGCAAACGCTTCAAGTGAATTTGCCTTGTTTGAAGGATGTTTAGATATTTTTTATGGAAAGCAAGACAAAAATGCTCATGTAAAACACTTTTAGTGTCATTCAGTGGCATTTGCCCCCATTTCAGAGTTCTTTGGTGGGATTACATTGAGATTACGTTGTCTGGAAATAACATGGCATCCACAATTGATGTGGTGCGGTATCTTGGCGACGGTCTCCGTGACTCCCGGGCTCTGGAAGGCAGAGTCTGGTCACTGGTCAAGCTCAGGAAGTTTGTAATTTGTCTTCTTTCCCTGATAAAACAGAGGAGAGAACGCTTGCTTTCTAGTATACAGCAACTAAACACAGTACAAGGGGGTCAAGACATTTTTCATGTAAACTTTACAGATATGTTCAAACACACACTACCAGAGAGTGAATGTGTAAACCTTCAAACACATGTCCAAACCAGCCGTACTTAAAAGCTCTTAAAATGTCTTAAATTTGGTTTTATCAAATTTAAGGTCATAAAAATTTATTTTGCGGTGTGTACTTTGATCTTAACACCTTTAACCTTATAATTTATTATTCTCAGGTTAGGTAAAGTAAGTCCAGTCTGGCCTAAATTCTAAGCATTTCAAATTAATTACAACTTGGTCAAAAGGACTCCTTTGTGGTATGTTCTTACTCAAAGTCTTAAAACACTATATATCAAAACCTTGGTAGGCAATTTTTGTAATCAATTAAATTTCATTTAATTGGTCATATTTCTTTTTATAAACAAAAATATAACGGCAAATAATCCTCAAACACTGAAGTTTAAAATACAGTAATCACGGTTTCAATCAAAGGTGTAGTCCGCTTCTTGTCTTTAGCTTTGAGTTTCTTGTCTTGCCCTGCTCTGAGCTTCTAGGCGCCAGGGGTACTGACGTTATCAGTATCCGAAGCAGCAATCTGCTCATCAGTCTTTTATACTCCTGTCATCTTCTTGACATAAGTTGGAATTTCCCCAAATTTTTCAAGATCCTCCCAGATGCAGCATAGCCTCCTCATGTCCTTAAACTCCAGTAAATTCGACTAAGATGGCTGAACTATTGCGTGCCTACGAGAAACTTTTGCGTGTGTACGAGAAACTATTGCGTGCCCACAAGAAACTAATGCGTGTCCACGAGAAACTATTGCGTGCCCATGAGAAACTATTGGGTGCCCACTAGAAACTTGCGTGTGCACAATAAACTATTGCATGCCCACGAGAAACTATTGTGTGCCTATGAGAATCTAATGCCTGGCCACAAGAAACTTGCGTGTGTACGAGAAACTATTGTGTGCCCATGAGAAACTATTGCGTGCCTATGATAAACTATTGCGTGCCCACGAGAAACTTGCGTGTGCACAAGAAACTATTGCGTGCCCACGAGAAATTTGCATGCCCACGAGAAACTATTGCGTGACCACGAGAAACAAATGCGTGCCCATGAGAAACTATTGCATGCCCATGAGAAATTTTTGCATGCCCACAAGACTATTGCGTGTCCACGAGAAACTATTGCGTGCCCACAAGAAACTATTGCGTGACCACAAGAAACTATTGCATGACCACAAGAAACTAATGCGTGCCCACGAGAAACTTGCGTGTGCAAAAGAAACTATTGCGTGTGCATGAGAAACTATTGTGTGCCCACAAGAAACTATTGCGTGACCACAAGAAACTATTGCATGACCACAAGAAACTAATGCGTGCCCACGAGAAACTTGCGTGTGCAAAAGAAACTATTGCGTGTGCATGAGAAACTATTGTGTGCCCACAAGAAACTATTGCGTGACCACAAGAAACTATTGCATGACCACAAGAAACTAATGCGTGCCCACGAGAAACTTGCGTGTGCAAAAGAAACTATTGTGTGTCTATGAGAAACTTGCTTGTGCAAAAGAAACTATTGCGTGTGCATGAGAAACTATTGTGTGCCCACGAGAAACTATTGCGTGCCTACGAGAAACTATTGCGTGCCCACGAGAAATTGCGTGTGCACAAGTAACTATTGCGAGCCCACGAGAAATTTGCATGCCCACGAGAAACTATTGCGTGACCACGAGAAACGAATGCGTGCCCACGAGAAACTATTGCGTGACCACGAGAAACTATTGCATGACCACGAGAAACTAATGCATGCCCACGAGAAACTTGCGTGTGCACAAGAAACTATTGCATGCCTGTTAGAAACTATTGTGTGCCCACGAGAAACTATTGCATGCCCATGAGAAATTTTTGCATGCCCACAAGACTATTGCGTGTCCACGAGAAACTATTGCGTGCCCACGAGAAATTGCGTGTGCACAAGTAACTATTGCGAGCCCACGAGAAATGTGCATGCCCACGAGAAACTATTGCGTGACCACGAGAAACTTGCGTGTGCACAAGAAACTATTGCATGCCTATGAGAAATTTGCGTGTGCACAAGAAACTATTGTGTGCCCACGAGAAACTATTGCGTGCCCATGAGAAACTTTTGCGTTCCCAAGAGAAACAAACTATTGCGTGCCCACTAGAAACTATTGCGTACCCAAGAGAAACTATTACAAGACTATTGCGTGTCCACGAGAAACTATTGCGTGCCCACAAGAAACTATTGCATGACCACAAGAAACTAATGTGTGCCCACGAGAAACTTGCGTAGTATCTTTGCAATCATTTGCAATCAAGTCAACGATATCGCTGGAAATGAAGTGCATAAATGAAGAAATTGCGTGCCCAAGAGAAACTATTGCGTGCCCACGAGAAACTATTGCGTGCCCACAAGAAACTTTTGCGTGCCCACGAGAAACTATTGTGTGACCACGAGAAACTATTGCGTGCCCAGTGGAGAAAGAACACTACGGAGACCACGTCCTACCCAACTTGGGGAGGTAACATGTAACATGTACATCACTGAAGGGAAGTACTACATAGGGAAGGTTTCTGTGATGTGCTCTGCGTGAGGGGAGAACTACCAAGCACAGAAACAAGACAGATCAGTTGTCTGTCTAAGGCGGGGGTGTCAAACTCAATCACAGAAGGGGCCAACATTTAAAACACAGTGTAGGTCATGGGCCAAACAGATTTACATTTATTGAACAGACTAAAATGACTTTTTGTTTTAATCAGAAATCTGAACAGCCAGAATCCTGTAAATCTTCTCAATAACACAAGTTCATTAATGTTTGGGGTTAGGTTCAGAGCTGTGGAAACTCTCAGAGTGGAGTGGAGGAGTTCATCAGTGAGATGGCTTCTGTGTGCGTTTTTGTTCATTTTCATCAAAGAAAAAAGTTGCTCACACAGATATGTACTACCAAACATGTCGAGCATTCGAGCAGCTTGTAAGCGAAGTTGAGGCATCGTTTCGGGAATGAAGCTGGGGAACTGTGCGGGCCCCACAGTGTCATACTTTGCCTTGAGTATGCTATTACACTGGAAGTTCTATCAGCTCAATCTGAATGTTTGCAGGTGCTTTTTCCATGTCAACTGCAAATGGATTACTGAACAATTCTAAATTAAATTTCTGTGCTTCAAAGTCAGCAAAGCGTCGTGTGAACTCAGCACGATGTGTGCTCAGTTTATCAACAAAATGCGCATTTGGGAATGCAGCGTTGGAGACTTGGTTTGTGATTGTTTGGCAACACTGAAAGTGACATAAATTTCCTTGCTGCATCTGAATCTCCCACAGGCGTAGCTTGGCTTGAAAAGCTTTCACTGCATCATACATGCCCGTGATCACACAGTTCCATCCCTGAAGCTGGAGGTTTAATGCAGTAAGATGCTTAGTTATGTCACATAGAAATGCTAACTCATGCAACCACTTTTCATCCCGGATAACTGTGGAGTCTTTTCCTTTACTTTCCATGAACTGACAGATTTCCTCACGCAACTCAAAAAAATCTGTTGAGCACTTTTTCTCGACTTAGCCATCGCACCTCTGAGTGATAGGGTACGTCACCAAGTTCAGAATGTATTTCCTCCAGAAAAGACTGAAATTGGCGGTGATTTAAGGCTCTGGCTCTTATAAAGTTAACTGTCTGTGTCACAGTGCTCATTAGGTTCCATCTTAAGGGCTTTACCGCACAGCGTTTCTTGGTGGATAATGCAGTGATAAACTGTCAGCTCACATGTGCAATTGTCCCTCTGCATCTTCTCCCGCATCCTTCCAACTAGTCCACTCTTTTCCCCGCACATTGCGGGTGCTCCGTCAGTCGTCAGTCCCCATGAGTTTGTCCCAGGGCAGTTTCATGTCATTTACACATTTAGATACTTCTTCAAAT